TGAGAACTAAAAGGAAATTCTCGATCTCTCCTTGTTGTATAGCTGAGCTTTTCAAACAGTTTAACAGTTACTTTAGTCTGACAAAAGCCGGATGGCGAATTAGCGCTTCCAGTCAGAAAGCGATTCACGTGTTTACGTGATTTACGATTTACAGTGCGCGCTACTCTGTTTTTGTCAGACTCAAAATAGCCGAAATACCTTCACACTACAGAACTTCTGTGGCTCTTCCGTTCGACAATCTCTCCGGCATTGGAACCATCATCTGTGTTCTCTTCGGTAACCTTCGCTCACGCTCTCGGTTGATTTTTCTCTGGTCGGCACACTCATTTCCTCCATTACCCGGGCGGCACGGCGGCTGGCTGCTTCCCAAACAAATACACATGTGCGGCTTGGCACTTGTGCCGTACGTAACAAGTCACGTGACGTGACGCTGTGGCTGTGATTGGTTCGGCTCTGACGAGGTCTATCGCAGTAGTTTAATTTTTCTATCGAGAAAGTTATTTCGCAATACATATCATTATCGTTCTATCGCCCAGCTCTAATTTACAGCAGCATAAAAACCCGTGGTACATAATGTTAACACTGATAAAATTATCACTTTTAATATCAATGCATTGTATTTCTATTGGGTCTAATAGACACACTGATGGTTTGGAGAGACTGAAAGAAGCAGTCTAAATAAAAATCAGTGGATGTTTAAGTTGAAGATGGATCTCATGGAAGGATGTGATCGTTTCCTCTCTTGAATGGCTAAATTCTTTTGATTGTGAAGAATTTTATGAAGTCATGACTACTTAAAGTTAATAGGTTATTGGGCTGTGCAGAGCTCTGACTGTCAGCATAGCTACGGTGCAGAAAAGAAGAGAAGAGGAGTGGTTTGTATTAGTGAGCGAGTTTTTGTTAGAAAGGAACAAACTATTTTTCCAGGACAAACTCTAAGCTGGAGTTATCTCCATGAAGGCATGTGTTGGTGAGTTATATGAAGGAAATATCAGCCATACTGCTTTGATTTGACATTTTCTTTTTTTTCAGTAGTAATGTTACATTCACTCTGACGAATGGGAACATTGTAACCTTTGTTTCTGTGTTGTGTCTTCTTTGGCTTCAGCTTTGTGCTGGTGTCCACACGGTTGTCTACTTCCTGGTAATGATTCTTAGATCCAGGAGAGCTGTGACAGATGAACTGGTCAGAACATATTTTGGGTTCATTATCATCACTTTCCTCATTAGTGCAAGGCACCATGGAGGTGTCAGTTTCCTGCTTCAGTAAAAGCTGCTCTTCATTCTCAGTGAAGCAGTGTTCCTCGTGTTCCTCTTTAATCGGCAGAGGAACCGTTTCCTCCTGGTCCAAACTGGAGATGCTCTCCTCATTGCAGAGCTGCTG